TAATATTGCTTTTAATTTTTAAAAAATAAAAAAAATAAACATTATTTCCTAATAATATTACAACGTGTTATTATTATTCTATTGGTACACTTATTTTCGGTCAAGTGGATATATGATGATCATAGTTCTCGTACTTTTAGATTTACTTTATGGACTCAATTGTTGATATTGGGCCTATTCCCAAGCAATGGGTTATTTTGGGAGCTTAATCCCTTAGTTGTTAGATTAGATCCCAAAGAAAGTAAAATTTAGAGGTGTGCTTTTTATTTCGTACTAGATTTTATATATGAACCTTTACGTTATATATATGCGTTCAGGAAAAGGAATCCCAACACTGAGGAAGTCGAAAAAGCCGAGGAATAAAAAGGGAAAGAAAGGGGTAAAATAGTCCACACAATTTTGAAAACCCCTTCGTTTTTTTTTTCTTCCTGGTTCGTGGCAATAACCGGATCCCCGTTTCAGGATGGCATTATCATATTTTTGGGCCAAACCGTTTCAGCATCTTAAAAGGATCTTTTTGGTGAACCCAAGCTTTATGCTTTAGCCCAGGTGATTACCCAACCACCGGGCCGGTTCAGGTAATCTAGGCCCAATTAAAAAGAGACCTTCACAAAAGTGAAAATCCAACGGTCTCTTCGATTGGATGATTTCTTCCCATGAGGACTAAGGGCAGTGCGGGGCAAATTGCTAAGTAAGCACCGAATCCAGTTTTCTCCAACCCCCTTTTTTTTTTTTGCAAATGATTTTTGTATAACTTTTTTTTTCTTTTTTCTTTTTTTATAATATAACATATTATTTAAATAACTAATTATTTTAATTTAAGTTAAATCCTTGATATTGAATGCATCTACTCATTTAATAATATGTGAAAATTGTATAAAAAAATAATATAAAAAATTATTCATATAACATCACTTTTTTTCTCTTTTTTTAGTGGGTGAGATTAAAATTAATTTCTAATAATTATTTTTATTATTACATCTGTTCAAATTAAGTTTTTCGAAATAATGAATAGTTAGTATTAATTATTGATATTTATAAGTTGTCTTTTTTAAATAATTAATAATTAACCTCTAACATTGATAATTATAATTCAAAATATCCACCTCATTTAATTAGAATCAATAACTAATAACTATTTAAAAAAAAAAAACAAAAATAAATGCCCCTTATTAAATAATTCACCAATGGCTAAACCCAAAGCCCCATATTAATAATTCACAAATGGCTAAACCACACATGCCCAAAGTCTTTCTCGTTCCTCTAACAGTCAAATCCCTTGTGAACAAAGGTAAAACCAAATGAGATTTAAGAATAACACGTTTTACATATGCATGGGAAATAAGAACATCAGAATAGTATTCTTTTTTATCACGTTTCATTATATAATAATAATACAGACAAAATTACAATTGCTATTTAATTTATACCATCGCTGGTGTTATTTCTAGAGCAGGGTTATAACTAATATATATGTAAACTTGTTGCATTCCAGAAAACGCGCCTGTACCACCAATATTAATTCTGAGGCAGCAGCAGCCTTGTTCTTTTCTCCGGTGGTCCAATGAACAATTCAGTCTCCACGTCCGAAATTGGGTTGCTGTCTTCCGGTACTACTGCAGTCTCTCTTTGCTCATTTGATCCTTGCCATGGCATCAAACCACACTGAGAAAAAAAAAGAAAAAAAACAACCCAAGAAACAAATTATTCAACACTGTTTTCTTTGATCATGTCTCTATTTGCTTTGCTTTGTTTCTGACAAAGGACTCTCACCTTCTCAGACAGCTTTGAATTTTCAGCTACAAGTGCTTTTTCCTGAGTTTTGGTATGGAATTACATGAAGGGTTAGCAACTATAACTCAACTTATATAAGGATTGTGCAGAGAACTTAGGCTTACCTTCTCCTTTAGCCGCTCAATCTGTTCATTGAAAACCTGAGTCTGAATAGTAGACAAGGGTAATTTATGTTATTGTCTTTGCTGAGTATTCAATAAGTAAGATACAAGTCAAGTATGATCAACATTACAAGCTTAGATAGTTAAAGCATGAAGTATTAACCTTTCTTGCTCGGACGTTGATTACGCTTCTCTCCAGCTGCTGTTCAATGTCTTTTAGTTCTTCAATTGTGCATGACCCCAGACCTTCTCCAAGTAATTTTCTGAGGGATTACAAATTTGATTTTCAATCGACATGATTAGCTTAACGAACCGATAACTGAATAGAAACTCAAACTAGGCCTAGCTAGTACCTTCTTGAAACTTCGAGAATCTCAATCTTCTTTATCATTTCTGCCGCTTCTTGCTTCAGATGCTGCCATTACAATCCACATTCATGGTAAGAAATTAAGGTCCAACATCAACAAGATTATATTATAGCAATGGTTGATCAAAGAAAATGCGTAACCTGCGAGTTTTGTTCGACTGGCTTTTTGGTTTGATTGTCCTTTGCATGCTTCAGATAACGATCTATTGTAGCCTGCATGCTGATCAAGAATTAACCCATCAAAAAAGCAATCAATGCATTCTTTCTCTCTACTGCTAAACATTTACTTACACAATTTCAACATCAAAAGGTCATACAAGCAAATTAAAAAGAGAGGAAAAAAAAAAAAAAAAAAACTAACAGCCTCCAACTAAATAATAACTAGCTAGCATGTATTAAGCAAACACATAAGTTAGATATATCTTAACATTACACACCAATTATTATTCACTAACTATCATATCTAATAGTAACAAGCTGAGGTAATTAAAGACCTTGGAAAGATCAAAATTTCAAGTTCGAGTCCTGCATTTTGCAGGTTTGATTTGTTTCAACTCTGAATTTGGTTACTTGTGAAATAATCAGTTGATAATTGTATGGTTGTGATTGTTTAATCAATCAAATGCTAAGATATAGCACAATGTTTGACTATGGTCTTAAATGACAAAGAGTAAGAGGGGTCAACCTTTTTACATTAGAAGGAGGAGGATTGAAACCCATCTCTTTAGGTTTATGACGAGGAACATACAGATACTATTAGTCTATTTGAGTTGCAACTGAGTTTATCCAAAGGGTAAACTCATACAGTTTCTAAACATAAATTTTGATAGAATAAAATAAAAAATAATTTTCTTCTTTTCAGTCTCTTCTTCTCTCCAACAACATGCCTTAAATGTTATCTAACTTCATCATTTCATGTTCCCATTTTTCTCTCGTGCATGCAACTCAGTGACTCATCACATACTTGTTAAATGTATGTTATAATTATAGAGTTTTCATTTTTTTTTTTTTTTGGTACATATAATGATGAGTTATACAAAAAGAGATTTCTCAAATCCCTCCCACCTAAGTCAAGACTCAAACTTAAGACTTTCAAGGTTTAAGTCCCAAGTTCTTTAACAACTGAGCCACCCTTGGAGGCCATATTTAGAAATACAGATAGTTCCACACTAAGAAGTAAATATGCAAATTATGAAAACTAATACATTTCTAGGTAAACAATGGTTTCTGACGATTCCTTAGTGCCAACAAATTAAAAACTAATAATACATAGCAAGACAAATTCTACAATATCAAACAAGATGACAAAAAACAAAACAAAAACGTATTGCAAAATCTTTGTCATAAGTAGCTCTATTGTAGGAGTTTGAAATAAACTTGATATTGAAATCAAGATTTTGAAGTTGGTGAGTACCAAATCGGTAAGCTCTTGTTGATGGTTTGGAGAATTGTGGCAGCAAGAAAGTGGATATATATACAAGAATTGTGGCAGCAAAATAAGACTTGACATATATGACCATGAATTCAATGGACTAACCAACACCATGCCTCATGGGGGAGAGTGAAAGAAAAAGGATGTAGAGTAATCTTATGATGAGAGACATCACATAGGTATAAAGGAATATATAGTTCAAAAATCCAAAATATTATTCAAAACAAAGAATGTTTATATTATATTTTCTTGTACTCTAACCGACAATTAGCTAGAAACTTGAAGAAAATGAAGTATATAATAATTAGCATTTCTACCCTAAGATGAGAAAGGACATAGATGGCTAAAACATTGTGGATAATTATTAGTAATTATTACAAATCTATTTAAGATATCAATAAAGGATTGTGTTTAGCATTGGGAAAATGCTGATATTTCATGTGAAATTATTATGTGTGTTTTCCAGACTTATAATCTTAATAGAAGAAATGGTAGCATATATGTGCGCTTTTGTTTGTGGTGCTCATCTCTTTGTTGCACAGGGAACAATGTCACTGGTTAAATCAGACAGTGAGTACCATAACCCCCTAACCGAGAAAGTCATCATAAATTTATTTTGTAGAAACTTAATTTAATACATATAGTACATTATGATTTACCTCTTTTGTTTTCCACTTTGTTACTGAACTTCAAGGGAAACTTTAGCTAATTTAACAAGTTTTCATAAATCCTTGTCTCAAAAAAAGTTTACATAAATCCTTGAAGAGAGGTTTATAATGGCAAAATCCAGTGATGAGTACTGATCATCCATTAATGATTTAGTTCCTTTTTTGTGAAATAACTTTTCATCTTACTTAGCAAAGAATGTTAGGATTTATATATTTTTTAGGTTCAACTCTCAATCAAGAAACTGAAACAAGAACTACCATGTTTTAAAGATCCTTACATCATAAATGATATGAAACAATTAAGGTCATTGTATGGATTGATTTGAAGTATCTTTTACCCTTTTTTTCATCTTTTTTCTTTTGCTGAACATACTAAAAAAAAGTGACCATAAATTCATACTTCTTTGACAGGGAAAAATGACTAAAAAAGCCAAGGAAGATCTTGTAAGAAAATCCTCAAAACCCAATGAGGATTAAGATCTAACTGTGAGTACTTGCAGTAGAGAAAGAAATGTGGAGAGACAGTAAGAGTCAGATCAATTACACAGCCTAAATTAACAAGAGAGAAATGAGTAAATTGATACCCATCATACCTAGAGCTTGAGAATTCATATAGTTTGCCTCTGGGGGAGAAAATTATGAGGGCAACCTCTGCATCACAGAGAACTGAGAGCTCATAGGCTTTCTTGAGCAGACCATTCCGGCGCTTGGAGAAGGTCACTTGCCTGCTTGTGGCGTTCTCTATGCGCTTCATCTGAGTCTTTCCCCTCACCATCTCTGCACCATATCAACAACCCTCAGGAATCAGTATCCGTACACCCCCCCAAAAAAAAAAAAAAAAAAAAAACACTTGGAACACAGAAAAAATAGAAACTTTCTTCACTGCTTATGCAGAAAGAGCTAAAAGAAAAAGAGAAAAAAAAAAAAAAAACTTACTTTCTCAGATAGGGTAAACCAGAAAAGAGCTTTTCTTGTTCTTGACAAAGGACAAATTAATGAAGGGGAAACTGACGAGAATTTGGGAATCCCAGAATTATTTATGCAACTTTGATGTGTTCCTTGAACACAAACAACTCTGAGACAAACACCAAATAGGAATAGAAACCGGAAAAGGTTTGTGATTTGTGAAGAGAAGAGATCCAAAGAAAAGAGAAGAAACAAACAAGGAAGTTGTGGAGGAATACCCAGAAGGGGAATTTGGTTGCTGTAGTTGATTGATTCTCACTCCCTTTTTCAGTTTCCACCAAAGGAGAAAAGAAAGCACCTACCCTTAAAAACGGCCTTTCCTTATTCATCCATCTTCTATCTCTTGCTTCCTCAAATCCCATCTATATAAAGAAAGTAACAGAATAATCCATTTTTCACAAATACATTTGTAAAGTTGCAGTTTTTAGTTTTCTTTTTTTTCACTTTAAGAAAATACAGGTAATTTACAGTTTGGCCAAAAAAAAAAAAAAAAGACAGTAACAAAACTTCTCACAACCAATACTAAAAACAACTTAAGTTATAATTTTAAGGGGGTGTCTCATTTAATAAATGAGATTTAAAATTAAAATTTTAAGATATGATATGTAAAAAATAATTTTAAAAAATCAAAATATTATTTTATGTTATAAAGTATAACTCAATTTTAAAAGTACTTAAAAAATAGTTAGAATTTTTTTTTAAAAAAAATTTGCACATCAAACTCTAATATCGTGACCTTAATTGAGTGAAAGTTCTGATAATAAATGTGCCTAAATTACAGTTCGATTGTAAAAACTTTGAATCATTACGGAGTAGAAAAGATATATAAAGCAGTAAGGTTTTTTTTATATAAAAAAAAGTGAAATTTTGTTTTCAAAAAAGGGAAATCATACCTTATCTTTGCTTGTTTTGGTAAAAACGCAAAAAACACCAAAAGAGAAAAAGTAGACAGAAAAGGAAAAAGGAAACGGAAAATATGAAGAGGAGAAAAAAAGAGAGTTAGTATTTCTTTTTCCCATGTTGGAGAATGGAGAGAATTTTCCTCATTTTATTATTATTATTATGTAAAAAAAGAAATGTAAGAAACACGTCAACTTCGTCCGTACAATTATCGTACGGAGCGGACCAATCAGCGGCGGAAAACACAGAGGGAAGGGGTTGGGTAATATCATTACCTTCTGTTTCTTCCCTCAATAAATGGAAAATTTCATTCTACTCCCTTCCCTTCCCTTGACTATGTCAATTTGTCCCCACTCTTTCTTTCTTTAGCCTTTTGTCTTTTTCTAAATCCTCCCGCGCGTCGTGCTGCTTCTAGAAGCATAATTTTCTTGGAGGTTTTTCTGTTTTTATTTAAAGCTAAACGCACATGTTAGATATAATTAAAGAGGGAGTTGTCAAATTAAGTAAGTTTATGAACTATTTAGTACAATAATTTAAAGTTTGTAATTAATAACTTTATTTAATGAAAAATATATATATTAATGTCAATTTTTAAAATTAATTAGAGTTTTGATATTAAATTATTTTATTTTATTTAATTAAAATTTTGTTTAAATTTTAAAAATTTATTTTATTAAATATTGATCTTTATATTTGAAAATCAATTATATTAAAATAAATAATCAATTTTTAAATTTAAATATCAATATTTAATATGATAGATTTATAAATTTTAAATAAAGATATTAGTTTCTAAATATAAATTGAAACTTTATTTTTTTTTAATCAGAACTAATATGCACTAATCACTTATTTAATTAGATTATTAATAAATTATTAATAATAATATAAATACTTTTATTTATTAAGATAGATAAAATTGTTAATTCTTGATTTTAAAGTATTATAGCAAACAATCTCTTAATATCTTTTTTTTTTTTTTGGTTGGGAAATAGTCCCTTAATTTCTTATTACATACTACTAATATAAATAAGTGTTTTCACTATTATTATTTAAATTGTTAATTCTTGATTTTAAAGTATTATAGCAAACAATCTCTTAATATCTTTTTTTTTTTGGTTGGGAAATAGTGAATTTTTTAATTTTATTGACAAATTTATCCATTTTAATTTTTTAATTTGTGGTCACATTTTTTAATTAATAATTATCTAATAAATTTCAGTTTT